AAAATTTTAATATAATATGTTGGTATAATTCACTGTATCGACATTTTGAATTTTTTTTACTAATGAAAAAAAATTGTCGATATATCCACATGCATTTTCTCTATAACGATAAGTGCACATAATTTGTTAATCTAATGTAATATTCTATAACGATAAATGCACTTTTACCCAACAATGCGCATAGAAGATTGTGAAAATCTGCTCTTATTTTGAAACAACGCAATGGGCGTATTCGAAATAACACGCAGATCATTTAATTATCGCGTTATTTTGTGTTTATACGGTAACCGTTTAATCACGTTGTTTATTAACGTTGATTACATGATTAATCATATTGATATTAGTGATAGTGAGGCAATAATATCTAAGTAGGTACAAACCAGGGATACGGAATTTATGTGATTTACCGTTCGTTGAGAGTAGGGATGTGCAAAATTAATACGTATTCTTACCTATAAGATGCAATAAATACTTAATATACAATATCTATGCAGAAACTTTGAATCCCTTAATGCGCAATAACTGAATAGTAACTATGTAGTTTCGATTAAATTTAATAGTAATTATGTAATTACTACGTCATTGCTATGTAGTTACTGTGTATTAAGATATTTAAGTTTCTGTGAAGATACTATGTATGTAAATAATATGAAGTAAGGATAGGTATTAATTCATTCTTACTTACAAAATTACTTTGCTCAAAAGTTATCAATTTTATAAAAATTAATATAACTTATTTTTTTTAAATAAATACTACAAAGTTGCAAAATTAATTTAAAAAAAAAGTTTATCGTATTCCCGAAAATAAGCACCTTTTTTTTTTTGCTATAAGGTTGCTTATTTTCGGGTATAATCTCAACTAATAATTTGAATGACTCATTATTGCTTATTTCTATTATATAAAAAGGTGCTTATTTTCTGTATATATGAATTGTAGGGGTGTTTATTTTCGGAAAAATACGGTAATAAATTTTCTTGAATTACCTTTGCTTAAAATTTTGAAAAAATTTATTAAAAATATTGCTTGGTTTCTATTGACTCAACCAAAATCATATAATTAAAAATGGATCGATTTTTAAATCACTACTGTTTTTGAGGCTATGACTTAATAAAAAAAAGTATTAATATATCGGTCTTGTTAGAGACTGGCCATCTCTACTAACCAGACCATCAGAACTATCACTATTTTTTTATGTTTACCAAAATTACAAAGCTTTACTGCATATTGAAATAGAAATTTAATAATGCATCTGGCAAAGCAAGTTTATAAATTACAATATTTTCTTAAACATCAGAAAAAACAAATAAAGTAAAAAGATATCTGCTTTCTTTTCTTAATAATGAGCATTAACAATTTCTATTTGTTATTATATGCCATTCAAAATTTTTTTTATAAAATTGAAAGTATCGAAGATCTGTGATTTCTAAATTTATAATTCAATATAACTTTCGAAATCTAGTAACAACTTAATGTTTTAGTGACCAGTTATAAATTTTATCAATTTTCATTTTCGTAATTATACTGTATTAAATTAGGGCTTGGACAGTATATGTACTAGACAATTATGGTAATTCGTTAGATAAATCAGTATTCTTTGAAAATTTTCAAAAAATTTGATAATGTCAAGAAAAACTTACATCTCGATAAAGTTTTTCATACTTCATTCGCACAAAACATTTCATTTTAGTTACTTTATCCTCTAACCATAATTTCCACAACAAATGATCACGTGGAATGATTTCTGAAAGATGTTCTCTAACGATTTTCCAACCAACACCAGAATAGTGAAGGTTTAATGCACGAATAAAGCGATATATATGACATAAAATTAAAGTATGATAAAGCAATGTGTAAACCTGAAATCGAAGAGTTTGTTAGTAAGGAAGGCTGATGTTT